GTAAGTGATATTTTATATATATAATATATATATTAAAGTATAATATATTACTACCATATATATATTATATATATAAGACATAATATATATTAATGATATATGTGAATCAATATAGTAGTAGTATAGACATATATTCTAATATATATAGGTCTTATATACGGTAGAGATATATAGTTATATTATAGTAGTGATTATATAGTCTATAATTATGTAGTCAGATAATATGTTAATAGGAGCATATATATAGCTAGTATATATAGTATGTATATATATATACTATCAGAGGATGATGTATATAAATGAAGTATATAATTAGGAGCGTAAGGATAGCATAATTAATATAGTTAGTAATATATATAATATAATATATAGAGTAAGTATATATGTAGTTAATAAATATGTATAAGGAGGAGTCTATAGTATATGTAATAGGTAATATAGTATAGTATATAGTGTATTATATAGTAATATTATATGTATATATATAGTTATGGATATTAATACATATATATAATATAAGTATAATAATGTTACCAAAAGTGTATATAGTTTGAAATATAATAGTTAATAGTATTATTTTTGTTATATTAGTATTATGGCTATATAATAGTAGAGCGGGATATAATAATTATAGAAAGGTGCGGAATTATATAGTATAATATAGGGTATTTTATAATATAATACAGGGAATAAGTGTGAGATATAGGTAGTTATATATTAGCTAGGAAGTAGTTAATAAGATATTAGTATAATATATGTGAGAGTGGTATCTAATATACTATAGAGGTATATAATAGTGGGTATCGAGAGGGATACTTGTATATATATATATGTGTAGAAGAGTAATGTGTAGAGATATAGTAGTAGCGTTAGTAGTTAATCGTTAGAAGGGTAATAGTTTATATATATAGTTAGGAGAATAGTCGAATTATGGAGTAGTGAATATATAATAATAATTATAATTATAGGTAAATAGAGAAAGTACGTATGTAGAGGATAGTAATATGATAGTGTGCTATATAGTATCATGGATGGTGAGATATATAGTAGAGAGTATAAGGGAGATAGATTATAATGTAGATATATATAGTAATATATATTATGTAGGGTAGTATATTAGTATCTAAGTGAAGTGTAGTAAGAGTATATAGTAAAGATAACTAGGGATAGTGGATATTAGAGTTATATATATAATATATATTAGGTTATAACGTAATATATAAATATAGATGATATATCTACTCACGATATTTTATATAGTATATAATATTTATTATATATAGATTTATGTTATATATATAATACAAGTATAAATAATATATATATATAATGTATATAGTTATATATGCTGGTATAGATATAGTAATAGTATATTAATATAGGAGTATATATAGTAATATAATAATATTAGATAGAAGTAGTAGTGTATCGGTATATAGTTTTATGTGGATATATATTATAATGATTAATTATATATAGTAGGTATATTAATATATTGTAAATATATTATATATAAGTATACATATATAGCATATTATAGTAGTACTAAGCGTTATATATGTTTAGTGTATAATACTTATAGATAAATCAGTATGTATACTGTATCTCTTAATTATTTATATATATAATATATATATTAATGTAACGGATATAGGCTTGTATATATATATATTGTAAGGTAAGGTATATGATATATATGGGTAATAGTAGGAAGTGATATTTATGTACTATATTAGTGGTATATATAGAGTATATTGATAGTGATTATAAGTATAATAGTAATAGGATATATAGATAGTATAATTTAATGTGTGTTGTGGTGTGTGTGTGTGTGTGTATAGCACATGTAATAAATGGTAAAGGTGTTCATAAACTTGTTACCAAACAGGAGTTCACAATGTAGTTTTTGACAAAAAAAAAAAAAAAAAAAAAAAAAAATCTAAACTAGATAGGTGACAAAAATTATACATCTCTATCTTCTCTCTTGCACATACCACACAATATTTGTTCAATACCTCTAATCTTGATGAGACAGAAGCTATAATGTTGCTTTACCCTCAACAGGAACCGGGAGCTGGAGAGCCATGTGGCTGAGAGAGATGCTATGATACGCGTGCTACAGAAAAGGGCCGAGGAGAAGGAGGCCATGTACCAGAAAGCACTCATGCGGAATTCTCTGGTGGCAGGGAAAGGGTGAGCTGTTTGATATGGATACTCCTCATGGGGGTCACTATTTTCAGTTGCAATACTCTTCTTGGCTTGTGAGATGGAAAAAAGCAGTGTCAGTAGGAAGTGAATATTTGACTTATTTATTTTATTATTCTTCCATTCTTCCCCTTCTCTCCCCCTTCTTATTCTTTCCTTCCCTGTACCTCTCCTCTTCCTCCTCTTTAGCTGCTGAGTAGGACTTACAACTGGTGTGGGACACCAGTCGTAAGTGGGTTAATACCTCCATCTCTCTATCCTTCCTACCTCCCTTCTTTTTCTTCTGTTTTCTCTTTGCAAATTTTTTTATTTATTTATTTATTTTTTTTTTTCTATTTTTTTTTTTTTTTTTTTTTATTTTTTTAGTTTGGAAGGCAGAAGCAACAGCAACAACAACAGTGTAGTTCACAGTACCCAAGCTTCCACCGTGCATTCTCACACAAGCAGTGGACTGGGAGGGGCAGCTGGGGGCTCTAGCACCCCTGGAACGCCAAGACGAGATGAAGAGCTTGGTGAGATTCTGCTTTAGCAACAGCAGTCCTGAGAAGATTCTGCTCTGAATATTGTGTTCTTGTGGATGGATGAGAGTCATTCTTCTTGTCTTGATTGATTTGAGCGCAAACCTGATATATTGTTTTGGTTCCTAACAGTTAATTGGTGATACATCTAATGTATCACTTTAGAATTTTTGGGAGTATTACCTTAAAAGGGACTCCATAGCTCATTAAATAGTAATAATAATGGATAACTTGTTGACTTGTCAGTGTGCCTGCACAAAAGAAGCATCTGTTGTCTCGTTTGATTGTATGTTAGCAATGATGCAGTCTACCAAGTTATTCGCATGATGAGAGCCTTGTATGGATGTGTCACACCCACCCTCACTGCATCCAGAGTGAGATATCTGGAGATGTGCACACTACCAAAATGTCAAGAGACTTGTTTTTTATGTTGTGATACCCCAGCTGCATGTTTTCTGTTATGATCGTTCAGCTTTGCCACTTGTGTTTTATCCAACCCCCATGAGTCATGGTGAATCTGCATCTGCTTTACCTTATACATGACTGAAAAGCAGAATGTATTCACCACATTCACCTCCTGTCTGCTCATTTATCTGCCTGCCTGCCTGCCTGTCTTGTCTGCATTCCTACAAACCAGCAATCACATGTGTGGTCCTTGTTCATGTTTTCATAGGTGAGCAGATCTTTATTATTTTAACCTATTAGATAGAAAGTCCAATGAGTAAAGATTCATAATCTAGTCCATAACTACTAACAAACTAATTTGTTTATCATTTTGAAAAATGATTTATTTTGAAGTTTTTGAAACAATTTCTGATAGTAATAGCTTTCTCAGAATTTGTCAAGATAAGATATGGGTAAATCACTTAATTTATTTTGCTTAGGCCTTCTGAATATTATGAATGAAATGTTGTTATGAACCACCCCTATCCCCTGTATACCCAAGTAATTTTCCCCAAGAATTTTGTTTATATTTGGTCTTCACAACTCTGGTAGCAGTCATCTAGATTATATTGATATCTATATTTATGACTGAATTTATGACAGTTGGTTTTATATTTCAAGTCTCCTTTCTGTTTCAAGAATGTTGCAAATTATAAGTTTCAGATGCTTAGTAAATCAGAATCTTAGTAATGATACAAAGGAAATTTATTGTCTGAAAATTGCAAAGAAAACCTTTTATGAAATACTCTTTTTGTTAACAAAATTGTATATGATGTAATATGAAGAAAGTTGAAGCAATTATTATTCATATGTTTTTTAATTTACATTTTTCTGTAAAATAATTGTCTTAGCCTTAGTTGTTAAAAGTTCAGTCAAATTAATGTTATCTTGTTAGGAATCCGTATAGAATATAGTATTTGCCTTGAGAATGTGAAGGATTGTAAGCTTGCCATAACATCCCTTTGTATCTCATGTAGTGGAATACTATGTGTATATATATTTTTTTAGCTGACTGATAATCCCTCATGCCCTCACAGGCTGTGCCCCCCACCCATCCCCCCATTCCCTGCCCTGAGTCACCCTTCCGGCACGAGTGCCACGTCCAAGGCTAGTGTCCCCAACCCGTACTTGGAACTGGCGTCGACTTCCTTCCCTTCAGCATCCCTCATTTCGACATCGTCAGCCTCGTCCACTTCATCTGTCTCGGCAGCAGCAGCAGTGCAGGAGAACCAAGCTGCAGGAGGGCGGGGCAGAATTAGGGAACAAATTGGTGACAGGTTGAGAGCAGATAGCTGTGGACGTGCCAGGCGGTCACCTGTGCCTGTGCGTGACTTGGATTCCCACTCACGCAGCTCTGATGACCTGTTAGTTGACAATGAGGATGCGAAGCAAGGGAAAGTAAGTCAAATACTAGTATTACTATTCATTATTATATTTTAAATCAACTTCTTTTTTCATGGCATGGCATTGATGATTTTATTTGTTGCGTGATTCTGTAGATATTTATGAATTTAGATTTTTTTTTTTTTTTTTTTTTTTTTTTTTTTTTTTTTTTTTTTTTTTCAAAATACAATTTAAAATGTCATGTCCAGAAGTATTAGTGTTACTGCATTAACCTTCACAAAATTTTTATTACTGTAACAAAAAACTGGTCCTACAAATGTAAAAGCACCGTTAACTTCAGCCACCTTTCAGCCATTTGCAATGAGTGGGTGAAAGTAAGAGCAGCAGCATTCACAGACACCTTGATCCAAGTTAATTTACCATCAAAAACAAAATTATTATTTATTGGTTTTAAATTACCATAATACATGTATGGTGTTTTGCTAAAACATACTTGTATCAGATATTTATAATTTCAAATAATATGTATTTACTTCCTTGTTATGACTGTTAGCTCTATTAACAAAAGAATACCCTTTCAATTTGTTATGGCATTGCTTGCCACTAGATCATATGGGCATGTAACTGCTGACGAGATTAATGTAGAGAATTTTTGTATGAAACTAGTGAAATAATTGCATAAATTTGAGAATGATCATATTGTATATGAACTATTATACATTGTACTCAAGTTTATTTTTTCATTTTTGTGTGATGATTATTGTGTTTGGGATTGCTGAGAAGCTGTTGTGTGTCTTTAACACAAAACATCATGTCCAGAAATACAAAATTTCACATACTGTAAGATAATTCTTATGACCAAAACATAAACAATACAGCTGCTTCTACAGTTGTTAGGGGGCAGTTCTCCTGATACCACTTTCTCATATAACACCACTTATATATGGTGAAACATATTTAAAAGTCCACAAAATATCCTTGTAAAATGGGAGGGGGTGTCCTAGGTAAGGGGAATGTTATTTGAAGGCAAAGGCAGTAACTTTTAGATTATTTTAGCATGATGGTTGCAACATAACTTTATTAACTTACCTTTTTTTTTTTTTTTTTTTTTTTTTTTTCTTTTTTCTTTCTTTCTTTTTTCAAATTGAGAATCGCAGTATTTTTCATGTACTGAGCATTATTTTGACTGAAGTGTATTTTACATACTGCTCTTACATAAATGGCATTATATGTATACTCGGTTCTTATGGTTTGATTATATTCAGTATAATTATTCTCTGTAAAGATTTCCTTTTAATTTACATCAAACAGTAATGAGTATGCAAAAAATGCCAAGCTGTTTTATTTTTCCATATGTAAAGAACTTACACATTGTAATTTTGAATAACTGTGTGTGTGTCAACAATTTATTTTGCTGTTTTCTTTCCTCTCCCTTATTTTTATTGACATTACTCTTTTCTCACCTCTGTGCTTATGTCTTTATTTCATTACTCTTTTATTTTCTGGTCATGGAACCTTAATTAGTTTAGTGATACAGTAAAGGTATAGAAGTGTAGCAGTTGGAAAATTGAAAAATGCAGTGCTATGTTAGCAACTATTGGTAGAATTACCATCATTGTAATAAAGTTGTGAAGACTGTTGGCGGTTTTTGTTTTTTTTCAATTCAGACAGAAGATAGAAAGAAAGATGGAAATATGCTTTCATTTTATTTCATATAGAAGTAATTGGGGTTAAGGCATTGAGTTCCTACTGATCACTTTTGAAAAAATAGATGAAAACATGGGGTCCAATTTAGTAGTATTTTTTTTGTTATTTTAGCAGAGCAAAAGTTATTTTTATGTAAAGGATAAGTTTGGGGTGTAGAATAAAGCTATGAACTGCATTGAATAGAATTAGAAAACTAGGGTTGAATAGGAATTGTGCTGGCTAATTAGCAGTAGATTAGAAAAGTAGCTTTTAATCTATTCTGAAAATAAATGTATTGTTAGAATGATACCAGGAATGTATTGTTAGTTGTAAAAGGGATTTGTTAAATTCTAAAATGACTTTGACTTGGTATATCCCAATAATCATGTTATGGTAAATTTGATGATAAAAAAGGCAATAAGTAAATAAGTATAGACTTTCAGTATGGGTTAGTGAAAGGTACTTGTTATTCATAACCCACATTTATAAGCCGAAAGTAATATTTTCCTGGCGGTTTCAAAATCGGTGCACAGGCTAGTCCGGCAACCTGCCAGCACGCTACACGCCATGGGCGACAAAATTAGAGCACAAGCTATGATCTGGCATCGCACCAGCGGGACACTGTTTACATTTCCGGGTGTCTCATACGTGGGATACCTGTCGTAAGGGTTTTAATGATAGCATCTATTAGTGGAAGGGGCAGGTCTATAGTATATGGGCTATATTGAATATCCTATGTAGAGGTCAGTATGTTAGTTAGAAACTTTGTAAAATTGAATAGTAACTCTTTAGATAGTGCATATGGAAAACATAAATAGGTTTGCCTGTTGTATTACTGTAGTTGTAGAACAGGTTCCATAATTGACCATTTCCCCTCCGACTATCAGAGGTGTGGTGGTGACACACAGGTATTTCATTGCAGCTGCGTGTGGTGTGTTTTCCAGGATTGGCTCATCCTGGCGTTGCAGCTGGAGAAGGCCCGGTATCCCAATCACTACTGGAGTGTGTAGATCCCAGCCCAGCCCTGGTCCCTCACACCCATCGCCCTGCCAGTGACATGTCTCTCATGGGTTGGGCATGGACTCCTCTGTGTCATGCGGCCATGTGTGACGTGCCTGTCCTATCCTGCCCTTATGATCCTTACCTCGTATCCAATGGAAGGGGTAGGTAGTATACCTCTCCCACCCCCACGTGACTTTCCTCATGGTCCTCAGCAGCCGCAGCAACAAGCACAACTTGGGCAGGAGTCCAGTTTGCAGACAGTCCCAGTCTTACCACAGCCCGCCTTGCTATCATGGTCATGAAAGTTCTTAGCCAGCAATTGCGGGGACCTCAAATGCAATCTCCAGCTTTGGCACCAGAGCAAGGCACTGCTGCTACTGCCATGCCTGGAAGTCCACCCATGACTCCCAACAGGCGTATAGGTCCCAACATGTCTCCCAGTACACCAAACCTTGCCACTGAAATGCCAGTTCCTCGTCCCGCCATGTGTCGTAATCCTCATCACCCAACTGTTGCATGCAGGAAATGTAACAGCGTCCGCAGCAGTAATAGACAGAATGCTGCCATCCTTGTCCGTCGAGCCAACTCAAGTGCCGGTCAAACCAACAGGAATTCAGCCCCATTGCCTGCATGTCAGTCTGTTGTCGATACAGATGATGCTCCAAGTATATTAGCACGGTTGCGACGTGAGTGGGAACTTGAGAACAATCAGGTGAGTGGCAGTAGTTCACAAATGCAAAATATATCTCCCCCAGTGTCAGAACAGAGGCAGCCATGCCAGACTGGTAATTCTGTGGAGAATAGCCAACAAAGCCAGTCAACTGCTCGAACATCACAGGAGACCAAAGAAGCTATAAAGATCCAACAACAGAACCAAAAGCAACCATCACCATCAAAGATACAGTCAGCACAAGAATTTGGAGATAACCCCCAATGCCAAAAAGGTCCAGCAACAAAGAATACAGCTAAGAATTACCAGCAGCACAGCCAGCTTTCACCCCAGGCACATACATCCAGAGAAAAGGCTTTTGATCAGCAGCAGCAAGCATATGCTTCTGTGCATAACACTAGACCTCCAGACCAACCATCTGTATCATCATCAGCTGTTTCTGTGTCTTCAGCAAGCACACCACATTCTAGTCCTGTTCCTAATCAAATGCCAGCTAAACTTCAATCTCCTGGTCCCACTATTTGTTCTCGATCCCAGAATGTGCCTGAAAATTCAAACTCAAACAAAATGATTGTATCTGCTAATAATGTCACACTATCTGAAATTAAGAATAGCATCACTTATTCTGTGAATAATAAGACAACAAATCACAATCAAATTAATAAGAATAAGGATATTAATAATGCGAATAATAACCAAGAGGAAAAAATTGAATTGATCATCTTAGAAGATACAGATCACCTGAAAGTACCACCCAATAACGGAAACCTAACAGAATCAATACAGGATATCATATGA